TGCTTTTTCAGGGTTAAGGTGTTTATTTCAGAATCTTTTCATAAAAAAGGCAGCAATTTTTTGGCAATTTTCTAGAAAATAGAAACTTCCTAGAAGCCTATTGCACTTTGAAAGAAAACTTTACATTGCCACAAAAGTCGTCACATGTGGCCTCATGTCGCTGGCACGGTATTCAGTTAAGAGAAAGGCACATTCATTGGCAGTGCCAGTGAAACTTGAGAACAATAGCAGTCACTCTCTTTTCAAAAGCAGTCTTCGAGAAGATCAGTCAATTGCCTACTGCCATTGCAGTAAACCGGTCCTTCTTGTTCTCTATCGCTCTAAGGCCCTGGGAGGAGCACTGTGGACAGCGAAGAGCAGGGACAAAGACAGTGTGCCCGTTCAGTTGTGTGTTGTTTGTTTGTTTTGAGCTGATTGAGTCGTTCTTCTCGTCGTCTTCTCGTCGTTTTCTCGTCTTCTGCTGCTGCATCACTGAAAAACTTTTAACCATTTGTTGTTGAAGGAAAATGTCTCAAACTGAGCAGAAGCTGTCCGGAACTGCTGATATGTACGATGAGTTTGATTGTGTGAAAGAAGAAGAAGAAGAAGGTGACAACGAGGAAGTGATAGTGAAAGAAGAGGATGATTCGGAGACTGATTGCTACGCCTTGGAAAACAGTGTTGAACAGTCAACAGGCAATGGTAAGTGGATGATTTAATTGTACACATTTCATTTAACTCATATTACCTTTGTAGGATCTGCGGTGAAAACTGAAGATCAGAATGAATCAGCAATTCATATGTATGATGTAGAGTTTCGTTTCATTCTGCAACAGGATTTCTCTGCAGTACAGAAAGCCAATGAAAGAAATGAGGCAGTTAGAGTCAATGAAGAGCCGGACAACGCGGATTCGGATGCCGACACTGATATTGATGAGGACTATAGTCTTCCAGCGACAGCATTCAGTGGTCAGTAATCTTTGCTTTTCATTCACCGATTATACACTTTGACTGACACATTTTTCCCCCCTTTAGAATCGCAGCAAAACACCGAACCAGTGGTCCCCACTGCCAGAGCCAGAGGCTCAAACTCAGGCGCATCATCATCTGGTGAACAACAACAACAACAACAACAACAACAGCAGCTGAATGGTCGCCCTCAGGGAAACCAAAGAGCTAAAAACTACCGGTGTCAGCAGTGCGACAAACGCTTTGATCGCCAATCTGGTCTCAAGCGACACCAATTGGTGCACACTGGCATTAAGGCGCACCGCTGCCCCACCTGTTCCCAGTCTTTCGGGCAGAAGAGCGCCCTCAAGCAACACCAGGTAGTGCACACTGGCGCCCGAGACTACCACTGCCCCACCTGTTCTCGATCTTTCAGGCAGAAGGGCGCCCTCAAGCTACACCAATTGATGCACACTGGCGTCAAAAACTACCACTNATCGCCAATCTGGTCTCAAGCGACACCAATTGGTGCACACTGGCATTAAGGCGCACCGCTGCCCCACCTGTTCCCAGTCTTTCGGGCAGAAGAGCGCCCTCAAGCAACACCAGGTAGTGCACACTGGCGCCCGAGACTACCACTGCCCCACCTGTTCTCGATCTTTCAGGCAGAAGGGCGCCCTCAAGCTACACCAATTGATGCACACTGGCGTCAAAAACTACCACTGCCCGACGTGCGCCAAATCTTTCGGGCAGAAGAGCGTCCTTAAGAAACACCAAGTCGTGCACACTGGCGCCCGAAACTACCATTGCCCCACGTGCGCCAAATCGTTTGCAGAGAAGGGCTCCCTGAAGAGACACCAAATGATGCACACTGGCATACCAATGGCTCACCAATGTACGGTTTGCTCTAAAGCATTTGCGACAAAGTCTGCTCTCACCCAACACCAAGCAGTTCACAGCGACTCTCGGCCATTTCAGTGCTCCACCTGTGAGCAAACCTTTACAGTGAAAAGATATCTCAAAAAGCATTTTAAACAAATGCATCAGCAGTAACACACACACACACACACACACACACTTAAATTGTCAGCCTCTCTTTTCCTTTTCTTTTTTTGCTGTCATTCAAAGATTAATTCAATAACAAATAAAAAAAACTTGTATAATTTGGTTACAAGCTCTTATTCATCAGTGGTGTCA